ACTTTCCCGGATGTATACTTTTACATAAACAACCGCTGTCCTAGTATACTACAAGTACGCTAGCGCTTTAAGTTTTAAAAATCTCAAAAATATCTTCTCAACTTCAATCTCCTCAGAACAGTTAACTTGGATGCAGTTTTCCTCGCTCACGTCGAGTCATATCTTACCTGAGTCATTGAGACGTACATCATCAGGAAACTACTAAACGACTCAAGTAACCAGTTTCTTTCATCGCGCTTCACTTAAATGCTGACATAGACCTCTGGAAATTGACTGACCGACTGACCTTCCCTCTAGAATTCTATCTTTGTCAAAACAGATTCTTTCTTTGGTGATGATCACAATTATCTGTGTCAAAGCTGCAAATTGTAAGTTTTCTTGACTTCTTTTTGAAATACCTTTTCTTTGGAAGTGCTTTGAGTATTTTGAGAGTTTTTTAATTCCTCACTAGTTCTGAGCATCGTTGTTGAGCAATGTTATGTTAGAAGTCGGGGGCTCGGAAAACGACGCTTTTCAGCTTGCATGATGATCCAAGAAAGTTTGAAAAAATTATATTTTTAATTCCTTACACTGATATCTACCCTTTTCAAACAATTTTTTCGCATTAAAATAACTTTTCATCTGAACTTCATCAATTTACTTTTTCACTAGTTGTTTCATCGAGTTTGTTTCGTGATTCTTCAAAGATTGGCCTGCCTTAAACTTGTCACTCAGTTCAACTTATCCTTACAAAGTACATATCCCAAACGGGTGATTAACATGCAATAGAGATATTTCGCTGAGCCAAGTTATGTTCTTTAGATAGTATAGTTATAATCAACTATAACTACTTCTATGGTATGGTACATTGCTCACCTACAATAACTGCTACATCTGTCATGTCTAACCTACTAACTAAATGAACAAGAGCAATAGGTCTAACAAACATCAGGTCTATCCTCAAAAATGTGTCCAGAATAAGGAAAGTATCAAGGCAGGTTTGTAAATCACCATCCACAGCCACTGTGTATTCTGGCAGGCCTAAAGCAATAAACAACCAGCAGCCTTCCATCCGCTTCACCATGGAGACAGAGAGAGACAACAAACTCGCCTTCCTAGACACCGCAGTTTTAAGAGAACCTGATGGTCGCCTCACCACCAGCGTATACAGGAAGCCCACGCACACCGATCAATACTTAGCGTATGATTCACATCACCCTCAATCAGTAAAACGGGGTATTGTTAAGTGCCTTTACGAGCGCGCCAAACGTCTCGTAACAAAACCTTCCGTCATTACCGAGGAAAAAAAACATCTGTCATCCGTTCTGGTTTCTAATGGTTATCCTTTTTCTTTCTTGCAGAAACTTACCAAGACCGGAAAACCAAACAACAGTGCCGAACTCGCCAACGAGTTCAAAGCTACTGCGGTTTTACCTTATGTCAAAGGTCTGTCCGAACAGCGTTGCCGCTGCCTACAACAACAAGGCGTACGCGCTGTTTTCAAGTCGGAGACTACGCTAAGATCTCAGTTAGTACGACCAAAAGACGCTGTCGCCCCGGCTAAACAAGATGGTGTAGTTTACAGGATTCCCTGTGAATGCGGCAAGGTGTACATCGGCAAGACTGGAAGACCTATGCAAGACAGAATTAAGGAGCACGATCGAGACATTCGACACGCCCGTACCGAGACCTCCACCGTTTCAGAGCATGCCCACAACACCGAACACAAGCCACCCTAAAACGAAGTAAAGTT